AATTGGAGAATGTCGACTTTTACCAGAGAATATCAACATTCACCAAATACGTCGGTGAAAGACCGAATATTTCACTACATTCTTGTATATTCGGACCCTCACCAATGTATGTTGACAATCACAGATACACTCTGCTGAAAGTCGAAAAGAGAGGTCATAAAGTGCCATAATAGTTTAAGTTGTTGCAATAAATAAGATTTGAATCACATAATTTATTAAGTTTTTTATTACTGTTATTTTATTTATACCATGGATATCGCAAGAAATGTGTCTTTCACACATGTGGCGCTATATTTTTTTAGATCAGATATTCGAGTTTTTAATTTAGTCACATTTATGATGTATAAAGCAAAAATTTTAATGGTTTTGTGTAAGCATTAAAATTAAATGATTTTTCAGTGGATGGAAGTGATTTATTCTGCAAGTTTTATATCCTAAAAAAAAAAAAAAAAAAAAAAAAAAAAAATCCAACAAGTTTGGTAAAGATATTTTGTGGGCTGAAACATAATCTAAAAAACCAAGAGCTGTAAAAGGCAAATAAGCTTCCCCCCCCCAACTATATCAAGCCACCAAAATTCTGAATTTTCAAGGAATCTAAGCCAACTATTTTTAAAGTCAAGAATCCTCACGTGAAATACATCACATTCATATTTCCATGATACATCAAAGTCTGCAATAACTTTCTCAAAAGTAAACAAAAGAATTACTTGTGAATCTACCTTGCATAAAAATTATCAAAATTATTGCTGAACGGGGATAAAATTGATGTAAAAATCATAAATAGCCATTCGTGAAATGATAGATGTAACAGAAAAATTCTTATTTAAAGGCTAACCACAATATTGCCAAAATGTATTTATGTGGCAGCTTGTGTAAAAGTGTAGCATAACATGTGGATGTGCACTTTTGAAATTCAATGGTCATTTTTCTGATTCGTATTTCTTTTCACATGGAGTACATTTGTTTCTGTGGTAAAAAATCATAATGGACTGTACAGTTTGTCCTCTTTCATTTTCATTACATTGAAGTTTCGATTATTCTTGGGCGACTGTGATTGCTGTCTGTGCACAGCCTTAAAATGTTGTAAGTGGTGCCAAATTTTTGCAAATCTCTGTTTATTTATTTATTTCATTTATTTCTTTTAAAGAAAACAGATCACTATGTACATCTGAGAAACAAAAGCTAAAAAAAATTACAGAAGGATTTTTTGAAAAGGTATGTTGTTTTATTTTTTTAACGAATGTAAAAAAGTAGACGGCACTGATGCATTGTTGAAACGGAACATAAAGATACCCAAATAAACATTTCTCTCCAAAGTCACTGATGAGCATGTGAATACTCTTGAAAGTAAACGAGTCATGACCACAATGGATACATAGGTCAATGGACCACAATGGTCACAATGGATACATAGATGATGCTGACACTGAAATTGTAATGCAATATATTGTATTCAGGGATCTCCTTCTAAAAAAATTTTTATCAAACATGAAATAGATGATTCAGTGTTTCATGGATGTCCTACCTGCAGGTCACACCAGGATCATATTAACAAAATATCAAAAATGAATAAAGAATGAGAAACACTAAATTTGGAATTGGCAATGTGAATAATCAGAAAGTGCCCTTTTCTACTGATAGCAGGAAGACTGAAAAAAATATGACTGCTTGCCCAAATATTCCATGCATGGTAAAATTTCTAGGCAAAGCACCAATATATGTGAAAAAGGTGATAAATTCATTTTACCATCTATGCTTCATTGCACTAGTTTTCAGTTTGAAAATAAAATTTAAAAAAAAAAAAAAAAAAAAAAAAAGTTTAATAGCAGTAACAGGTATAATGTACAATTTTGTAAGTAAGATCAGAATTATTCCTACAAAATTTTCAGTATGCAGATAACCCAATATTTGTAAGTAATATTCAAATTTTTGCATATTATTAAATTAACTTTGACATAATAATCTTTGCATATTTATTAATTCTATAGTTTACATTTTTATGACTTTAATTATGTGCAAGTGGTTTTAAATGTTTATTTCCCCAAGTTTTAAGGAATTTATTTGCTAGTTTTTAGTGCCTAAATTGCAATCAGCTAGTCATAATCATCATATAAAAAGAAAGATTTTTTTTGACAAAGTAAAACAGAATATGATCTATCCATTAGCAAAGAGAATGAAAACATGATATGAAGAAACCTATCAGTCTCAAATACTAGTGGACGTATAATCTGATAAACTGAACTTTTAATGTCTTTTATGCCTGTCTTTCTTATTAGTTTTAAGGGCCTAAATACTCAAACTTTAGTAATTATCTAGAAAAAAAAAGGAATCACAAAAAAAAAAAAAAAAAAAAAAAAAAAAAAAGAACTCACAACTGAGTGTGATTATCTGAAAGAACTAAGAAGAATATATTGCTAAAAAGTGGAACAAGCCTATCAATTTTCAAATTAAATATCATGGGCATCCATTTATGATCTCAAAGATAATTTTTATAATATGATGAAAATGATGTGAACAATGGATACATAGATGATGCTGACACTGAAATTGTAATGCAATATACTGTATTCAGGGATCTCCTTCTAAAAAAATTTTTATCAAACATGAAATACAGTCAAAAGTCGTTAATCCGGACTCGTCGGGACTTCGGCGATTCCGGATTATCGATTTTTCCGGATTATAGATCATCAGTTTAAATCTGGTAAAATGGCATGCAGAAATTATAAAATTAAAAATATGAAACCGTAATTTACGAAATAAAGAACAATTATGATCTAAAGGGTATCAAAATTTACAAAAAAAAAAAGCTTAATATTTATTTGTTTACTTTATTAAACATTTCTTTCAATGTAAGTTGTTTAAGTTGCTTCGTTTTTTATGTGATAATACATTCTCTTTAATTCTATAAACAGACATAATTTCGTGTTCAGTTACAAAGTTCCGCTGTTCAAGTCCTATAATTTCTGTGTCAAGAATACCAACTAATTTGTCAATCGAAATTTTTTTCGTTTTCAATAACCTCTATCACTTTCTTCGCTATCCGAAGCGAATTATAATGACGAGGCATTTGATTTAAATCATATCAAAGACACATCGAGATGAAATACTACATTGAGTAAGCAATTATAAGCGAAATAAAATAAAAACATCTGCTCTTAAGATAAGGATAGTGCTGGATCAACTTCCAATTCATTGCACGTGGCCCGGTGTTAAAGATAAACAATGTTTAGATAAACAAACGTTAAAGTTTACATAAACAAAGGATATGCCATTATCCATTTTTGCAGCAATTCTACTTTTTGTTTAATGGACTCCGAAAGATACTTTCGCTTTGTATATCCTTTACATATTAGTAAATATATATCGGAAATTCTATTTGACATAATCGAAAGTTCAAGCTTACTTTTATAAAATTGCTCTAACAGTCTGCAAAAAATAATAATCCGGATCCAATTCGAAGATTAAGGAACAACGCAATTTGCAACATTAACTGAAATAGATAATTAGATAATTTTAGCTTAGCTTATCCCGTCCGTTATACATTAAACGCGCATAATGAATGCGCACGCGCACACGCAAATTCGCAGCGGTAAAGGTCTTACGCGCTTGACGCATGCGCAGAAAGTTTGTAGCTTTGAGGTCCGGATTATAGATCATTCCGGATTATGGGTGTCCGAATTAACGACTTTTGACTGTAGATGATTCAGTGTTTCATGGATGTCCTACCTGCAGGTCACACCAGGATCATATTAAAAAAATATCAAAAATGAATAAAGAATGAGAAACACTAAATTTGGAAAAAAAAAATTTAATACAGAAATCTCATAATAGAATCAACAATTAATTCCCTCTGGAAAGAAAAAGGTCATGTAAACAGCAAAAAATACATGATATTGATTGTCATTTTACTTTAAGAACATTTGGCAAAGCATAAATTATTTAACTTTTTCTTTCAAATTTAATTTGTTTTTACTGAATTACAAATTAAATTATTTAAAAGCAGTAAAAAAAACAGCTTTAGTATTACTAATTAGGTGCTGAGCCCCAGAAATTTCACTAGTTGGCATCATTAAAATCATTATACGCACTTTTTTTTTATAGTAACTATTTTAGATGGTTTGCCATGCAAGCACACATTATTAAAAAAAAGTTTCAATGATCATATTTTTTCCCTAATAAATATATCCTGAGTTGAAATATACAGTTAATTTTATCAGAAGAAATATTAGTAATATAGGTTGTTTTGCAGTTATTAAAATATATTAATTCTGAACATGTGCCTTGGTACTATTCAGCCCAGAGACTGGAATCCTCATTTAATAATTTCTAAAAACTGACACAGAAATTTTGACACTAAAATTTTTTAAACAAATGCAAGGTTTATTAATATAACTCTTTTTTTAACCACTTGCGCTATGACTAAACTTCACGGTTGCGGTGCCATGCGCTACAATATAACAAGCGGTAAAGTGTCTCATTTACGACGCTCCGCGTCTGTGAGTGCAATCCAGAGCTGTAACTCGAGAAATAAACAATCTCGTTGTTAGGCCACGTGTGCACCACGCTATTTTCATTTTTGCAATAAATGCCTATCGGCGTGGTGTTCACGTCGCTCGAGGCTTGAGACAAAAGCATCTCGACATGCGTGGCACGTCTTTTTAGCGCAAGTGGTTAAATGATTTATTATAATAAACAGCTTTTTAAAAATGCCATCATTTCTACAAAATAACATTTATTTCTTTCAACAAGATTTCCATACTGGTGTGAATTCATAATTTTTTTTTTGTTTGTTTGTTTGTTTCATGGTACATTTTCATGCCTGTTTCAGAGTTTACCAAATTTAACAAATAATTCTGAATTTAACAATTTTTAACATTAAATAACTGAAATGTACAGGTTGAATTGTACCATGCTGCATTATTAAAATAAAAAAAAATAAAAAGAAGAAAGGAAAAAATGTTACACAAATGAAGAAAGAGATCTGGAAGTACAAAAAATACCTGCATTAGAACCTTTGAACTTGACTTTTATATTCTCTGTGATACCATCTTCATTTCTTCCTAAACCTTTACCTCTCTTCCATCCCATTTTAGTTAACAATTTCTGCCCAATTTTGCTTTCATCTATAAAAATGAAATCCTTCAGAATCAGATATTTGATATGTACTCTCAATGTTAGATAAGCATTTAAGTTTATCAAATTTACATAAATTAAGTAGTTAAGCTTATTAAATTTACATAAACTAACTATAAATACCATAGAAAATAATTTGTGCGGTATCAACCAAAAGCATGAGTGCAAATTTTATTATTATTCAACCTAAAGCAGGACTGCACATTATTTTCTCAATATACACATTCAGATACTTCAAAGTTAATAGTATTAATGAAGATAATCATATTCAGCACTCAAGTTTTTGACAAAAATATGTGCATGACAATTAAAAAAAGAAAGGAAGAACATCTAAATGACTTCAGATTTTACTGTTGAACGAGAGGGTTTCTTTCTACGCTTTCACTGAACATCAAAGGTTACCAATCTGGTCTTCAACTCATTGCTGCTAACTTTTTTTTTTTTTTTTTTTGGTCTTTTTAGCTGTATCACACACATTGTACACATCACATACAGTTCAACAGTAAAATCATAAAATTTTTAAAAGCAGCATAACAGCATATGTTTAGAATTCCTGATACAGTGTTGTTAGCATATATTTTTCTATTTTTTTCAATCTTTTCTCAGTTTATCCCATCAATGTTCCGTTTTCTCATAAGATGATTTATACAAATTTTCCTTTGTCATTTTATTATTATTTTTTAATAATAAAATGACAAAGGAAAATTTGTATATATATTTTTAATTTGTATAATTTTTTAATAATAAAATGACAAAGGAAAATGTGTATTTTTTTTCATTTTATTATTATTATTTTTTTTTTAAATTTTATTCACTAAATTTTGCATTCTTGCCACTTACGCCACATAATATTGAGCGGCAAAATATTTTTAAAAAGCACTGTTTTAGAATTCCTAATAAAGTGGTAGAGGTTGTGATTTTTTTTTAATATTCACAACATTATTCCTTAAAAGCTAACCACTCACATGGCCATCAGCCTAAAACAGTTATCATGAAAAAAAGGAAAAAGTATATAATGATTTTAACGAGTGCAGCTAGGGTAATTTCATAAAAATATTTAATATTTCTGATCAGATATCTCATGGTTTTAATGCATTTTCATTTAAATCAATCATATTAAAAAGAAGGAAAAATATTAAGAACTGCTTTTAATGCTTTTAAATCATTTAGTTTATTACACAGTAAGCTGCCAGATTAAATCTGGAAGTTAAAATTTTAGGTGTTACTGAATGGGAATACAATGACATTTTACTAAAAGGCATTATTATGGCACATCGGAGACAGAAATGCTTCATTTCGAACAATGTAGTCATTTCGCACTTTGAGTTTATCAATAAAAAATTCATTAAATTTGTATAAAATATTTGTTCAAAATTTGGGCATCAAGATGTATATGTTTGAGTGGAGGACTAAGGTATATTAAAAATGTGTCAGGTCTAAGTATCATTATTTAATTTTTTTAATAACTTGTAGTAACATTTGGGAAACGATTTGAAAAGTGGTACAGATGAAAGTGAGATACAGACAAAAAGTGACTGATAGCAGCTGTGATGCTAATAAGTGGCAAAGTAAAATCAAAGTGTAGAAATAAATTCCCAACTGCAGGAATTATTTTTATAGAAGCAGGAATAATTTAAATTAAAAATATTCACAAAATAATGTTATGTAAAAAGAATGGACTCACAGAGTAATAAAAAATTACATTAAACATTAAACAGCACAGAAATTTTAGAAACACCATTATTTTTAAAATAATACAAATAAATATCAAGATAATATCTTTTAAAATATTATCAAATTGACATCCAAAAACAAATGTCTTATTATATTATCCTAAACTAAATATCTCTAAATGCACAAACAATAGCTGTGATTTACACATTATATTTTATTATTAAAGTAGCCCGAATTTATATATTAGCCATACAATGGTGGCAATGAAGAAAATTTTATGTTTCCACCTTTTATTTTCTGTCGGGAATAGACATGAGGTTATTTTCCATTAAAGCCCTATAGCCTGTGCGTGTAGTCATACTTCTCCCTTCTTTTTCTTAAACTGCAACTGATTTCATAGTTTGGGATTAATAATGTTTCATATAAATTATTATCTCGCTAGCTGGAGAGTCAGTGAAAAAAATCACAGGAAAAAGCAATGAATGTTATTTCCTTTAACAAATAAATCTGATTTTAGATGAATTTCTTATTTTTAAAATAACAGTTATTTAAGCATGTTACTTTAAAACTAGTCAGAATATCAATTTCAAAAATAAAAAATTGTTAATTAAAATATACATTAGCACAGAGTAAAATGAATAATATATTAACTTGCATAATTTCCCCCTACCTTCTTCAGCATGTGATCTAAAAATGTCTTATTAATTACAAAGTAAAATGGAGAAATAGACATCAAAGTACATTATGTAAAAAGAATATAATTGCAGTTAATAACCACCACTAACTTCTTCGAAATACAGAATAAGATAATACTACAACTATTTATAGGTGCTTTTAGAAGTGTTATTTTTTTCATTTAAATCTTTCCCTCAGAAATGCTAAATGCTGCATAATTTTCCTTTCTCAATTAAACAAATTTCAAATTTAAAAACAACTTTAGAAATAAGATAATATTTCCCAGGTAATTAAGAAATGGAATCAATTTGAATCTCATTTATCAGAACACACAAACCTAAACCTAATTTTCAAGCCAGCAAACATGCGTATGGGACATAATTATTTTCGAAATTAAACCCTTGCCTTTGGAGTATATTTCAGGACAATATGTCAAAATGGAAAATTTAATTTACTTTTTTTACTCCCAATAGGCACTTTCCAGATAATGTGGATCCAGGAACATGTCATCATGCAAAATACTGAGAGGTGCCTTTTCTTTACCTTTATGTATTGAGCCAAAATTACTGTCCACCCTCCTTCCAGAGTTGAATGTTGAAATTTATGACACTCTTTATACATGTTAGTACTGGTACATATTTTTTATTTGAGGCAAATAGTATGGGCATATACAAAAAGAAGAAGCAACAGTAACAAAACAAAAAAACAGTGTTAAAGTTATAAAACATTATGCTAAATTATTAAAAAACAAAAAGTCAAATAAAATATATTTAGATAACTAGTGTTTTTGAATAGATATACATTATGCAAAACAATGGAAATGTCTTATAGAAATTGGACTTTTCTAGCTTTGCTTTTCCCAAATTCATTAATAAGATTTTCAAAATCTAGCTGCTTTAAGAAGTCAGACTCTACAGAAATGATAGCAATATTTTCAAACTGCTCCTGACTAGAGATCATAAGTATCTTTAATTAACTTAAATGTAGAAAACGATCCTTTGGCAGTAGCTACAGAAATTGATGTAGTTAACAATATATCTAATGTTGCGAATGAGTGAGTTGTTATTTATTATAATGTAACTGGGTGTTTCTACTACAGACGTCACATTTTTTTGCAGTTTTGCAGAAAATGTAATTTATGTCAAAGTTCCGTTCTACCTACATCTTTTTTGGTTTGATTTTTGTCAGTTAAAACTTCAAGTGTTTTATAAAAATTAAATTGATCTTGGTCAGAATGCTCCACAAAAATTTGAAAACACAAGAATGAGAGGATAACAGCTCAAATCTTTCATTTACAGATGAAAGAGTAATGTCTATCCCCCCCCCAAAAAAAACTGACTTGGAATATTTTAATTCTTGGTTTTCAATGATCTTCACTTTTGTAAGAAATTTATTATTATTATTATTATTATTATTATTATTATTTATAATTTTGTGGCCTTAAAATTTCTGGGCATTTGAACATCACTTCTACTTCCAAGGACGATGCTAATTCTTTGGCACCTACAATGCATATCACCGAAGCCTTTATCTGATCGATGTGCCTAGTTGTTCAGACCTTCGCAAACTTGTGAAATATCGAATTTATTAGTTTTTAGAAACTTTATAACAGCATCAGCTTTATTTAGTATCTTGTAGCACAACACTAGCATACATACAAACTCATAATTTTAAATTTCTTTAACTAGAGAAGTAGCCAGATGTTTTGTAATGTTATGAAAATTATTTTCAGACAAAATTTTATAAAAAGTATTTCACCTAAGTGGAAGCTTAGAGAGATTCCTGCATCCATTCTGCTAGCCATCTGGTATCTGACAAATGTTTTAATATTAAATTTAAAATGTTACTTTTCAAAACCCATCGAATGGTTGAGGCAGAAAATATACACATATATAGCTCTTGAACAGTTGACAAAAAGTTAACACTATATAAAGCATATTGGATGTCACAGCATCATTTATGACAAGTTTCAAACTGTAGTTACAGCAAGGTACAAACATTGCTTGTGAATTAATGTCTAAAATTGTTTATTGTACATCTTGATATTTACCCTTCATATTCGAACCTTTTCCATATCCTTGTCCGTGCATATCATAAATATCTAAACCATAATTTTCTAAAGTTTTCAGTAAAAAGTTGGTTAAATCTTCCCCTGTTGTATTACTTACAGGACAGAATGTTGAATGTTTTTCGACACGAAATTCATTGTTTTATAAATTAATGCATCTTACGCAATCCGAAATGTGCTCTTAGTGGCTCACATCAGTAGTACAATCAAGTAATATGGAAAAATACTTTGCTTTCGAATTCTGTCTCTTAAGATGTAACAGCACATTTTTTTTAGATCTATTTCATGTTAAATTTTGCTATTATTTCTACACATTCTGAAAATTTTCTATTATTTCTTTCAAAATTAATGCCATTTTTAGGAAGCAAGCAGGAAAAGGAGCAATTTTTGATCAAGCAACGTGATAAGGAAGTACATATTTGATGATAAAGAGTTTGTTAGAATTAAGAACTTTTTTAGAAGAAGCAGATAACCCTAATGTTTCACTAACAGAAAGACTATGGAATGATCTTGCACAATTGGAAACTCTTCTTTCTAGACTGTATATAGACACAAAAAAAGCTGCAACCTGAAGAATTGACAGGAGGCGAGAATGGAAGAACGTGATGTTTTGTTCTTTCTGAAATGGAGGGTTTATTGCAAAAGGAATATTTCTTCAATGAAGAAAAGAGAAACTAGTTTGCTAGACAATGAGATCTTGCTGGGTTCAATATATATAGATCCGAAACACTGGATTTTCTTGAATGATGAATAAATTAAAAAGGCAAAAAAACTTTCATTAAGAATGAAATTATTCTCAGAACAATTGGAGAATTCGAATCAGAATAGTCAAACTAGTCAAAAATATTGAGTCTCTACCATCCTCTTCCAGTGCTGAACTAATCCTATCTGAATCTATCCTGAAAAGTTAAAAGAAGTAGCTAACAGTAACAGCCTCCTACTCAAGTTAGTGTGGAAAGTTCTCAGCTCTGAAGTTTATCAAATCGGATCTATGGCCCTCCAACAAAGAATATCTTGCCGAAGCTATACTGTTTCTTAGAAATAATAAATGCTAATTAATATAAATAATTTACTATGCCATCAGGTTTTTCTGTAACAACTAGTACTTCTTTTATATTAAAAAAATAAGCTGTAACTCATGTGTATATGTTTATATATATATGAGAGAGACAGAGTCTAAAATTCCAGGAATCAGTCATTTTCCCTACCGATTCCACAGCCCTGGTTATCAGTAGAAGCATTCTCTTGAAAATGTGTGAGCTTCGGAAAAAATTCGGTAACTTTTAAATAGCTCTTCTCCAAGTCTTCCTCCCATTTTCATTTTTCAAGTCATTTTCATAACCAGACAATTTCTTTTCTTATTCTCTGGGCATCTAATCACTAAAAATTAGGAAACACAAAGATTTATTTGAATTATATAAAAATATATTTAGAAAAATTCAAAATTTTAAATTTTGCAATTTCTGTAGTGCCAAATTTTCTTAAGTATTTATAGAAATTAGGTAAACTGAATGTATAGTTAAAACTGTGTTATTATATATATATATTATTATGTTATAGTTATTATACAAAGCTGAATTCACTTAATTACTTATTTTCGCAAACCGGGACTTGCAAATACATATATTTGGTACGCTCACACAGTGAACAGTCACACAACAACAGTGAAAACCTGCACCGACCACAAAAGTGTTTGAATAAATCCACAATTTCGCAAGCTTAAACCTCAAAACTTTTGACTGAATAGAGAATGTTGCCCTTTCCTAGATCCCCTACAGGAAGAGGAGTAATGCAGTTTCACAACTGGTTAATACTGGTAGATAACAAAATTATCGTAGGCACCTCGAACGTGTGCCATAGGACCTTGCCCTATGTGGAACAACCTGCACAGATTTCAAATAAATGTGGAACAAGTATCGCTATCTATCACCAAAATAGTGAATTGGATTGCATTACACATTTGATAAACGAGAACAAACTCATTTTGGGCATTCCCAATTTGGCGTTCTTGGGTTTCCCGAACTGGGTTTGGAAAACACAGGAAAGAGGTTAAACAATTCGGTACAACTCTAATATACGCCCTAATTTCACTAAATGTGGCGATATGTGTTCTGCGCTGGTTTTTGGCACGATTGCATGTTCTATGGCAACCCTGTTGATGTTCAAAAATCTTTCGCTGGAGCTCGTTGATTCGCCTCTGTGTCTGAGAAGATGGGAGGGAAAGATAAAATGGTAGAAGGTGTTGAATTGAAGTTCGGCAAAAGGAAATATTATTGTGGCCCTCCTGTTGAGGGGTAGCGGGTATTTGGAGGTGTGGAAAGAAGGTCTGGGAGATTATTTTTAATGGCTATGCATGACAGAAGTAGGGATTTGTGATTTTTTTTGTTTGTGAACCATAGTATGAATTTTCTGGATAGTGTGTCTAACTGTCATGTAAATACGATAGTGATTACGTGGCGGCATGTAAAGGCGGTATGAAATTGGTATTTCTGCTGCTCGAAAAAGCATTAATTCATGGTAAGTGCATTTTATTTTATCCTTGTTTTATTTTGTAGAATGTTATGTTCATTGTTTCTTTAGTATGAATTTCTGTCGTTATTGTTGTTTTTTTAAATTGTTTGAAATTTATTTGTTGTTTAGTCTAGACTGTGCAATTCGTAGATGTTTTGAAACAGAATGCTGTGTACATGGTATTATTGAATTTATTGTGTTATGTTATTTTATTAAAGCGAGGAGTGCGTAGATCCTAGATTCCTTCCTTACCTAAATTCGTAGAATTTTTTTAAGTTAACAGGATGCTGTGTACATGGTATTCTTTGAAATTATTGTTGTTATGTTAATTTATTAAAGCGAGGTGGCGAGTTTGTAGATTCGTTCGTTGCCTACATCGTGCCATTCGTAGATGTTTTTTAAGTTAAAAAATGTCGTCGTGTACATGGATTTTGTTAAATATTTTTGGTTAGAAACTTTACGTTTTTGCTATCTAAATTTTTTGTTTTTCTTTTGGATTTTTAGCTAAATTGTATGTTGAAAACGTAGTTTTTGCATGTGCGAAAACCGCGTTTTTGGAGACATTTTAGGCTAAAAGTTCGAAATGTAGACAAAAAATTTAGATAGTAATATGGCAGCGTGAAGTTTCTTGCCAAAAATATTTGGCGTGTAATTTGGCGACTTGAGGGCGCATATCAGAGTAGTTCCAACAATTCATATTATTAAAAACATAATATATACTCAGATTTATAGTATTTTCAATAAGTCATGAACAAATCTTTTTATTAGACATGCATACTGTTACAAATTTTGTACACAAATAGATGATTTTAGTGCAACTGTGTGTGAAATTGTCGTATTTTTCTGTGTAATGTAACATGAAAAATTGAAATAGACAAGCTAGCCAGAAAATAAGAATGCAGGGGAAATCTGTTTAACATTCATCTGCTCTCAGTTGCCATTGTTAGCTGTTACCTCAGTATGAGTTCCGAGCATTATCTCCAGTTTAGCTTCACTGCTTTGTGTTTAACGTTCATAGTTGTTTAAAGTCTAATAACTGATTGTACTGCGATATTGTGAAGAGTTACATGATTATTTTTTTATGGAAAGTTCCAGATATCTGAAGTGTTTCTTTTTATAAAATAAACTTTATCGACCTATCATCGGAGCGGTGTGCATTCAATCTAATACAAAACTGTATGCATGCAACAATATAATCACATTTCATAATAAAATAGGAAAGAAAACCGTATCACTCTTATATGCGCCCTCGGGTTGATAAATGCGACGATATGTGTTGTGTGCTGGTTTTTAATGCGATTGTGTGTTCTGTGATGGTTTTGGGGGCGATGTTGGTTCTATGGCAACCCTTTTTACAACAGAAACTTGGATTTTACTGTAGTGGTTTCAGTTGCTAGCTGGTTCAAGTGGTGTGTGGTATTTAAGCGATTTACGATGCAATGAAAGACGTGTTGGCAAAATTTTAGTCTCATGCCTGGTACGACTATTTTTTCGGGTGGCTGGAAATTCTACAAGTATTTAGGAGATAAAGGTTTTGAACATTTATTTGTGAAAGATAGTATCAATTTTGTGTGGTGGAGGCTGTCACATATAATAGAGATTAAGAGATTAAGTGGTGTTAAGATTGCCGTTGTGTTTATTATTTTTCCATTTTGTTCTTATGGGAGATGCTTTTCGGATATGCCATTTGTGTTTTATTCGGCGGGGGTTTATATATTTTTCCAGCGTTGTTATGAAAGAGGGAGAGATGGTTTAACAAATTTGGGGGTAAAATTGTTTTGGTGATATTTAAAATTGGTATTTCTGCTGTTCGAAGAAGCATTCAATTCATGGTAAGTGCATTTTATTTTATTCTTGTTTTTATTTAGTAAAATATTATGTTCATTGATTTTTTAGTATGAATTTCTGTCATTGTTGTTGTTTTTTTTAATTGTTTGAAATTTATTTTAGTTTATTTTTTTAATTAAGGTGCAATGCCTAGAATAAGCAATTTGTAGATGTTTTTGAAAGTTTAAACAGAATGCTGTGTACGCAGTATTCTTGAAATTTATTGTTGTTATGTTCATGTATTAAAGCAAGGTGTGCGTAGTTCATAGATTCTTTCGCTACCTAGATTATGTAATTCGTAGAT